GGTGAAGCAGAAAGGGGTTGAGGTGCTGAAAGAGAAGGGGGAGAGGCTTGGAGAAGGCAAGCTTTTTCTCACTTGCTTTACTGATGCTACGTGGGCCTCTGAGAAGGAGGATTCCTCATCTGTGGGAGGATACATCTGCGTAGTTGGGGGAGGACCGGTTAGTTGGAGGTCAAAGAAGCAGACGGAGACAGCACTCTCTTCCGTGGAATCAGAGTACATGGCGATGTTCCATGGGGTGAAGGAGGTGATTTGGCTGAGGAGGCTGTTGGAGGAGATTGGCCAGGAGCAAAAGGTTGCTACGCCGCTGTTTTGTGATAGCAAGGGAGCTCTTGGGATGGCCAGAAACGCTGTGCTTCATGGGCTGAATAAGCACATGCGTATCAAGTGGCACTGGCTGCGTAAGGAGGTGAAGAGGGGGACGGTGAATCCGATCTACATCAAGACTCACCAGCAGCCAGCAGACTTCCTCACCAAGAGGCTTGCGGATGAGTCTCATTGGCGTTGTGTGCGCATGAGTGGAATGAGCATGAACTGGTATGGAATGATGGGGATGCAGCCGGCAGGCTGAGGGGGAGTGTGTTGGGTGCAAATTCACATTGCACGACATCCTGCCGTCTGTTTGTACGAGTATGCGTGTGCGAATGCATTTGCGTGTGAATGGTATGTTCGTGTGTTTGTTTGCTTTCGCAATTTTCGCTTGAAGCATTTGCAGGTACTCGCAAAATGTGCGCTGCGGCATAACATTGTACGCGCTATGAACAGTACAAGCAGAAAGGACGAGCTCGCAAAGGAACCCAAGATGGAAGCTTTGCGGTTCGGCTTACTTGATTGCGCAGATTCAGTTCTATCCAACTCGAAATTGTACTGTTTTGTTTGGTTGACTATAGTGTAGCAGGGCAGGCACTATAGGGGTACAATTTAGGTGAAGGTTGGATGTTGTTTGTCTGTATCTGCATGCTACAGGGCCAGGGGAAACCAGCGGAACCAGCATTTGGCTGGTTGGGCAAAGACAAAACAGGTTCTGTTTTTAGGACCTGAACCTGGTTGTTGTTTTCCCAGGTTGGAAAAACAGAACCAGAGGTTGTTCACCAACCTATCACCTGCTATTTTGTCCAGCCAGGTTGGTTCTGTTGCTTGGAATTATTTGGGATCATCCCTGGTTGTTCCCAGGTTGATTCCCAAGGTCCTTGCTAGCTAGAGCTATTTATTCCTTCTCTGTTTGTACCTGAATATAGTGAAATTGATTCAAGCGAATTCCTTCCTTGCTGGAATTGCTTTTCTACGCGGTGCGACGGCGGAATGCTACCCGAGTCAACGCTAGTACGCTAGCACTCCAACGCTAGGCTAACGCTGTCCGAGCCATAACTTCGTAATGGCAGAACTTTTCGCGAGGCAACTTGGCTTATTTTAAAGTTCTTAGAGTGAGCTTCGATATAGGAAATTCTCAGCTTAATCCGATCGACGGTCTGCACGATACGCTGCGCGACGTTCAAGGTACTCTTGCTGTTTTGACTAAGTCCCTCTTGATCCCTCTCTCTACAAACTCGGACCCGAGGATAGGGGCTGGTCTTGTACCAGGCACCCAAGGACCCTTGGAGGTGACCCCGAGGAGAGGTTTTAAGTGTGATAAAGTCTTAATAGCTTGAGTTTATTAGGCCCTTACACCAACACTAGGTTCACTCACACCCCACCCCCTAGCACCACTCCGTCGACTCCCACACACCCACCCCCCTTCAGCGGCAGCTGCAGTAGTGGGAGACAGAGGAGGAGGAGCAGGGGAGACCACACGTCCGCCATCCCCCACTCGCCACCCCCAGACCCTAACACAGGGCAGGGCTGGACGGCGGGTAGGGAGGTTACGGGGGGGGTGGGCGACGCGCGGCCTCCCAAGGCGCCAAAACAGGCGGCAGAAGGGGCGGCGCTCGCCCCCACACGCGGCCCCCTCAGGTCGCCTCGACAGGCGACGGGAAAAGAGGGGGGGGCGGTGCACGTGCCCCCGGTGCGCCGCGACTAGCGACGGAGCATGGCCGGGGCAGGGCCGTGGTAGGGTCGAGGCAGGGCTGAAAGGGGCGGCGACGGGGCCGCAAGGGGCGGCGACAGGGCCGCTGGAGGCGGCGACGGGGCCGATAGGGGCGGCGAAGGGGCCGTGCGAAGGGGCCGTTAGGGGCGGCGACGGGGCAGCAAGGGGCGGCGACGGGGCCGCTGGAGGCGGCGACGGGGCCGATAAGGGCGGCAATAGGGCCGCGAAGGGGCGCGAGGGGTTTGGAAGGGCGGCAACGGGGCCGCGAGGGGTGGCGACGGGGCCGCTAAGGGTCGCGCGAGGGGAACGCCACGGGGCGTGCAGAACACAGAGTAGCCGCGGAAGCAGTTAGGTGGGCCCACAGGCCAGGAGCGTAGATGCTCTGATACCATGTGAAGAATGAGGAATGAAGAAGAGGGGGTTCACTAGCAAACTTTAAAATACATATAGTAAACCCTAAAAGGGTTGTACTTTCTATATAGTATCCCACTGCAGACTAGAGAAACATAATATTCCGACACATTTACCTAACTATTTTTAGCTGCACTTTACCTAGTCAGCGTCGCCAGGTGAAAATTACAACAGGTGCTTAGTTAGAAATTTGTTCCTACTTATAAGTAGCTTGTTAAGATAGAACGAGGGAATGAATGAACTAGCAAGCAGATGGGAACAAGTAGGAAAACCTAAAAGTGTTGTACCCCATATTGTCTACCACGCTACAGCCTACACAGACTATAGCATATAAGTTTGACACACCCCCATATGCAAAGTGGGGGAGAACAAGAGGTCACAAGACTAGTAAAGAAGAGCAAAGCAAAATCAGGGTGGATCACGACGTTACCACGCATTCTGAGCGCAAGCAAACGACCACCAGGCCAGTTCACTTGTAGAGTTATATAAAGTAGAACAAGCAAGACTGTGATCACAACCTAGCAAGTGTAAGCATGCAGGCATATGTACAGAGATCACAGTAAAAGCAAATTCAAGAAGTGAGCAAGTGAGGCCAAGTGGGGACAAGGCCTATAACAGTACAGAACCGCTGTTGATCACAAGGCTGAAGTGCCTTGGTGAAGATATCAGCAGTGTTGGCATGAGAGGCCACCTAAACAAGACGAAGCTGACCACGCTGCTGCAACTCTCGAGTAAGGAAGTAGCAAAGAGCAATGTGCTTCGTTCTGTGCTCCAGTCTCTGCTCGCGATACAAGGCAAGCATGGCCTTGTTGTCGACGTCCAGAACTAGAGGAGAACGAGGCGCCTCTCCCAGGTCAATCAGTAGGTAGGTGAGCTAGCGTAGCTCCTGTGCAGCCATGGCCCGTGCGTAGATCTCAGCCTCACAGCTGGAGCTGAGAACAGAACCGGAGCCAAGGCTGAAGGTGTAACCCTGTGACGACCGCTGCGTAGCCAAGTCGTCAACCTAAGAAGCGTCTGCGTGACTAGTGAGGACAACTGGACCCCGTCCTCCAAGCACAAGCCCCGTGGCCATCACCATCGCGCGCTGCCGCTGTGTCACCGGTGAGTGGAAGGTCCCCGCCGGTGCCTGCCCCAGGTGTTGCTGCGCTGAAGCCACCAGTCCCACCTGCCCCGAAGCCATCTCCCTCTGCCGCTGGGGTCTCTCCGCCTCCGAACCCACGCCTCGTGACGAGCCCAGCTCCACCGTCGCCTCTGCCCGGTCCGTCTGGCCCTGTTCTTGAGTCGGGCCCTCCGCTTCCCGTCGAGGCTCCTGCTCCTGCTGTTCCTGCTGTTCCGTCGGCTGCCCCTGCAAGCACTGTCGCACCGCCTGCTGTTGCCGATCCTACTGCTGCTTCACCTATCCCGGGGGTCCCTGTCTCAACGCCCGCCGTCGCTGACCCTGTTGCACGTGCCGTGGCTGTTGCTTCATCGCCGATGGCGGAGTCCGCCACCACTGGCGGCCAGGCCCCTGTTGTGAAGCAGGCGGTGGCCATACAGACGACTGTCCAGGTAGCTCCCAATCCTGCTCCGCCTATCGCCACCTCCCGTGCTCAACGTCTGCCGTCTCCGGGCCGCTGACAGTCTCGGCCCCATTCCCCTGCGCCTCGTGACGAGCGCGCGGTGTCGCGGCGGCGCCACGATTCCCCTCGCTCCGTGGTTCTCAAGCGAACTGGCCCGCGGCTTGCGGCGGTCATGGTGGGTGGCGGGGAGGGCGCGGTCGTGGTGGCAGCTGGGCGTATGAACAGCCCGTGACGATGGCGGATCTGCAGCGCGCCATTTCTGCTGCGGTGCGTGAGGAGCGGAACGGGCAGGTGAGCCTAGGCAACTTTCCGCGTGTCGCTCCAACCCTCGTGCATTTTCCTCATGTTGCGCTTCCTGTTCTTGCCGTTCCGCCTCCGCTGGCAGCTGCTCCGCCTCCCCCTGCTCCATGTATGCTGGGAGTGAGACAAAGCATGGTGCACATGCCACACATGCTCCTCACACACATATCCCTCAACTGCTCAACTGTCATTGCCTCCCTCTTTTTCCCTCTCTCTCCCTCTCTCTCCCTCTCTACAAACCGAATGGTTTTCTCATCTCGTTCTCTCTCCTTTTCCCCTGCCCTAACCTTCTCTTTAAAGCCTGAGTTCCACATGGGTGTCTTCAAATTCAAGATTCTTGAATATGAATTCGCCAAAAACCAGGTTACCACCCGAAGTAAAGCATTCCGTCGCTTCACAAAGGAGAGGTTTCACAACTAAGGTGCATGATTGGCCAGCGACAAAACAAGTCTTCCGCGTGGACTGTCAACGGGAGATGGAGCACTGCTCAGATTCAATAAACTTGAAAACCAAGTTGTATTAATGGGCAGCCATATTCAGGCAATACCCGTAGTCTACTCCGCTGTTCAGCACAAGAGCGCGTGAGATCTCATTTGCGTGCGTGGCAGCGAGCTGTCTATATTCTTGCAGCAGCCTGTTTGATGTTCTCCATAAAAAAAAAGCAAACATAAAGAAAAACGTCATGCGCCACGCCCATTTATGTAGGGACGATGGCGCTCACATGTACGTTCGAAGCGCAAGGATCCGGCGCTTCCCTCACTTTTACGTTCGACGCACCCGCTTTCGCCCGTCGCACTCCCTTCTGCGCGCTGGCACTCCCTTCCGCCCGTCGCACTCCCTTACGCCCATCGCCCTCCCTCCCGCCGTCGTCCTACCTTCTGCCCGTCGCCCTCCCTAGCGCCCGTCACACTCCCTTCCGCCATCGCCCTCCCTTCCGCCCGTCGCCAGTCGCCATGCCTTCCGCCTGTCGCCCTCTCTTCTGCCCGTCACCCTCCCTTCGTCTCGTCACCCTCCCTTCCTCCCATTGCCCTCCCGGCCACCCGTCGCCCTACCTTCCCCTCGTCGCGCTCCCTTCCGCCCGTTGCCCCCCTTTGTCACGCCGCGCTCCCTGCTGCTCATCGCCCTCCCGCTCTTCCCCTCGCAATCCCCGTATCTCTCTCCCCTCATCGCCCGTCACTGTCGCCATCCCTCCCTTCTCCCTTCCCAACTCGTTTGGATCAGTCACGCCCCCTTTCCAACCCGCACACACCCGTTCCTTCCCCCATTGATCACCATTTACCACCACACTGATTACCTCTATCATTCCCCATATCATTTCCGGGCTCCCCACCATTCTTCGGATAGCTCTTTCCCCGGCATCTCTCCCACTCCCCTCGTCCTGCTTCCCCCCATCCTCTTCCCTGTTTCCCCTTGGATTCCCGCGCTGCTTCCCCCCATCCCCTTCCCTGCTTCCCTACATCCCCTTCCTTGCTTGCCCCATCCCCTTCCCTTCTTCCCCCATCCCTTTACCTGCTTCCTCCCATTGCTTCCCTTCTTCCCTGTTGGTGTAAGGGCCTAATAAACTCAAGCTATTAAGACTTTATCAAACTTAAAACCTCTCCTCGGGGTCACCTCCAAGGGTCCTTGGGTGCCTGGTACAAGACCAGCCCCTATCCTCGGGTCCGAGTTTGTAGAGAGAGGGATCAAGAGGGACTTAGTCAAAACAGCAAGAGTACCTTGAACGTCGCGCAGCGTATCGTGCAGACCGTCGATCGGATGAAGCTGAGAATTTCCTATATCGAAGCTCACTCTAAGAGCTTTAAAATAAGCCAAGTTGCCTTGCGAAAAGTTCTGCCATTACGAAGTTATGGCTCGGACAGCGTTAGCCTAGCGTTGGAGTGCTAGCATACTAGCGTTGACTCGCGTAGCATTCCGCCGTCGCACCGCGTAGAAAGGAAATTCCAGCAAGGAAGGAATTCGCTTGAATCAATTTTAAATATATTCAGGTACAAACAGAGAAGGAATATATAGTCCTAGCTAGCAAGGACCTTGGGAATCAACCTGGGAAGAACCAGGGATGATCCCAAATAATTCCAAGCAACAGAACCAACCTGGCTGGACAAAACAGCAGGTGGTAGGTTGGTAAACAACCTCTGGTTCTGTTTTTCCAACCTGGGAAAACAACAACCAGGTTCAGGTCCTAAAAACAGAACCTGTTTTGTCTTTGCCCAACCAGCCAAATGCTGGTTCCGCTGGTTTCCCCTGGCCTTGTAGCATGCAGATACAGACAAACAACATCCAACCTTCACCTAAATTGTACCTCTATAGTGCCTGCCCTGCTACACTATAGTCAACCAAACAAAACAGTACAATTTCGAGTTGGATAGAACTGAATCTGCACAATCAATTCAACCGAACTGCAAAGCTTCCATCTTGGGTTCCTTTGCGAGCTCGTCCTTTCTGCTTGTACTGTTTATAGCGCGTAGAATGTTGTGCGGAAGCGCATAATGCGCTAGTACCTGCAAATGCTTCAAGCGAAAATTGCGAAAGCAAACAAACACACGAACATTCCATTCACACCCAAATGCATTCGCACACGCATACTCATACAAACAGACGGCAGGATGTCGTGCAATGTGAATTTGCACCCAACATTCCCCCCATCCCTTTACCTGCTTCCCCCCATCCCCTTCCTTGCTTCCCCCCATCCCCTTCCATGCTTCCCCCCATCCCCTTCCCTGCTTCCCCCAATCCCCTTCCCTCCTTCCCCCCGTCCCCTTCCCTGCTTCCCCATGTCCAATTCCCTTCTTCCCCCCATCCCCTTCCCTGCTTCTCCCCATCCCCTTCCTTTTCCCCCCCAATCCCTTTCCCTGCTTCCCCATGTTCCCTTCCCTGCTTCCCCCCATCCCCTTCCCTTCTTCCCCCCATACCTTTACTTGCTTCCCCCTATCTCCTTCCCTGCTTCCTCCCATCCCTTCCCTTCTTCCCCCCATCCCATTACCTGCTTCGTCCCATCCCCTTCCTTGCTTCCCCCAATCCCCTTCCCTGATTCCCCCCATCCCCTTCTTTGCTTCCCACCATCCCCTTCCCTGCTTCACCGTGTCCCCGTCCCTGCTTCCCCTCATACCCTTCCCTTCTTCCCCCCATCCCTTTCCTTGCTTCCCCCCATCCCCTTCCCTGCTTCCCCATGTCCCCTTCCCTACTTCCCCCCATCCCCTTCCCTACTGCCCCCGATCCCCTTCCCTGCTTCCCCGTGTCCCTGTCCCTGCTTCCCCCCATCCCCTTCCCTTTTTCCCCCCATCACCTCCCCTGCTTCCCCGCATCCTCTTCCCTGCTTCCCCATGTCCCCTTCCCTACTTCCCCCCATCCCCTTCCCTACGTCCCAACATCCCTTTCTCTGCTTCCCCCCATCCCCTTCCCTGCTTCCCCCCATCCCTTTCCCTGCTTTCCCCCATCCCCTTCCCTGCTTTCCCATGTCCCTTTCTCTGCTTCCCCCCACCCCGTTCCCTTCTTTCCCCCATCCCTTTACCTGCTTCCCCGTGTCCCCTTCCCTGCTTCGCCGTGTCCCCTTCCCTGCTTCTCTGTGTCCCCTTCCCTGCTTCCTCCCATCCCATTCCCTTCTTTCCCATGTCCCTTTCCCTGCTTCCCCCCATCCCCTTCCCTGCTTTCCCATGTCCCTTTCCTTGCTTCCCCCCATCCCCTTCCCTGCCTCCCCCCATCCTGTTCCCTTCTTCCCACCATCCTTTACTTGCTTACCCCCATCTCCTTCCCTGCTTCCTCCCATCCCCTTCCCTTCTTCCCCCCATCCCTTTACCTGCTTCCCCCCATCCCCTTCCCTGCTTCCCCCCATCCCCTTCCCTGCTTCCCCATTTCCCTTTCCCTGCTTCCCCCCATCCCCTTCCCTACTTTTCCATTTCCCTTTCCCTGCTTCCCCCCACCCCCTTCCCTTCTTCCCCCCATCCCTTTACCTGCTTCCCCGTGTCCCCTTCCCTGCTTCCCTGTGTCCCTTTCCCTGCTTCCCCCCACCCCCTTCCTTGCTTCCTCATTTCCCCTTTCCTGTTTCCCCCCATCCCCTTCCCTGCTTCACCATGTCCCTTTCCCTCTTTCCTCCCATCCCCTTCCCTGCTTACCCATGTCCCTTTCCCTGCTTCCCCCCATCCCCTTCCCTTCTTCCCCCCATCCCTTTCCCTGCTCCCCCCCATCCCCTTCCCTTCTCCCCCCGATCCCTTTCCCTCCTTCCCCCCATCCCCTTCCCTGCTTCCCCCCATCCCTTTCCTTGCTTCCCCCGATTCCCTTCCGTGCTTCCCCATGTCCCTTTCCCTGCTTCCCCCCATCCCCTTCCCTGCGTCCCCTCATCCCTTTCCTTGCTTCCTCCAATCCCCTTCCCTGCTTCCCCCCATCCCCATCCGTGCTTCCCCTTATCCCCCCTGCTTGCCCCCATCCCCTTCCCTGCTTCCCCTCATCCCCGTCCCTTCTTCCCCCATCCCTTTACCTGCTTTCCGGTGTCCCCTTCCCTGCTTCCCCGTGTCCCCTTCCCTGCTTTCCCATGTCCTTTTCCCTGCTTCCCCGTGTCCCCTTCCCTGCTTTCCCGTGTCCCCTTCCACAGCACTCACACGCACCACTTGTCTGCTCTTCAGATTCTCCCTCAGATTCCTCCTCACATGTCTTGTGGAACCCGGGTCACCACTTTGCCTGTCTACATGCCTGCCGACGTTTGATCAATGTGCGTGTCTTTCTGCCTACGTGTATGCCTGCGTGTGTGCATGTTTGTGTGCGTGCATGCATTGGTAGTATTTGTGTGCGTGTGCACGCCCACCCAATACCTGATGCCATTCATCAACCATGACCCTGTGGGAGGCGCACCCGGTGCTGGTGGGGAGGTGTGGCCGCCCAAGAAGCTCCATGACGTGCCCACAGAGAAAAAGTGGGAACAGGGGTGGGGGCAGTGGGGAGCTGCGAGGAGGACGAGGAGGAGCAGCCACGCCTAGCGCTGGCGGCTTCCATGGAGGGGCATACCGAGGAAGAGGCGGGAAGGTGGGCAAGGTGGGGAGCAAGGTGCGAACATGGGCCCATGCAGGGCAGCAGGCACGATGCCTCTCGTGCGGCAGAGGGTTAGGAGCAACAAGGGGCGTCGGCAGGAGGGGCAGCGGACGAGGAGGTTGAGTTACCAGAGGAGCGCGTAGTGCGCATTCCAGCCTGCCGTCGCATTGCCATTCATTGCCCGGATGGCACTCGGCTGGAGTGTTGTTTCCGGGCCCAGGCACTCTCTCCATGTGTTGTCCGAATCCTTCAAAACAACCTGCTTGCCACCCATCCCACGCCTCTGCACAGTCCTTCCTGCCATGCTCATTCCCTTGCTCTCCCACTCACTACCTTGTTCTCCCATGCCCCACTCTCCAGTCCCCCAGATGCTGGGAAGCAGATCTACGACTGGACCCGTCCCGAGGTGAACCCCTCGGCGCACCCCTCGGCGCACCGCCACGCCGGTCATGGAGCATCAGCAGCCCATGGCACAGTTCGGCGGGTTATGCGAGATAAGGCGCGCAGCTGGCAGAGCTGCGAGGCAACTTTCTCTCAAGACTGCCTTCAACCTCCCCTGCTCCCCTAGACCTGCGCCCGATAAGGCCTGCATTTGAAGTTGCCGCCCTCCTTGCGTGTAAGGAGGGAGTGGCAGCTGCAACGCGTGACAGGCAACACTGTGCAGGCAACTGTGTTGATTCTGGATCATGGGGCAAAGGCATTTGAATTAAGTAGAGTTGTGTGGTGTGATCAGTGCGGAGCGGCGTAGGAGGAAGGCACAAGAAGGCAAGCACAAAGTGAAGAGGCCGCGGCATGATATGGAGATTGGTAGCAGAGATTGACTCGTGGGTCGTGCTTTGTTTGGTGCCAATGATTTATAGGCTGAATTGGGTTTACCTGTTGACCATACTATGTACAAAGGCTCTACTGTATGTGCCCTATCTCAATCTTGACCCGAGCTCCAAGCGTAACAATACTTGAAGTATGGAGATTGTGCCTAGCTGTGATATTCCCTACCAAACCTACACAATATGGCCAATGTCATGCATACTAGTACCGTATGCGTGTCATACATGGTGAAAACGCAGCTCGCTAAAGAATGTTCAGGTTGGTATGCAGCACTTTGAATCCGTGAAGCACACTTGCAGTTATAGAACCGGGCACATTGTAGTCAGCCGCCTTGAATGGCATGGCACGCTCTTAGAGAAACAACTTGCTGTTGCCTGTAAACTAAATTCAATTTTCCCAAGATACGGGGCAACACTCAAGACGGTCGAGTTGAACATGTCCATGTAAGCCCAGCAGAGAGGAGTGGCGGGGAGTGGCGGCGTCGGGCAAATGAAAGGAGGGGTAGAGTGGAAATTTCGAGGGACTCTCATTACTGATCCTTTGCAATGGCTGATTTGCAAAGGGGAGAAGGGGGGGATGGGGGGGTCGTGGTGGGAATGGGGTGGGGGGCAGAGGAGAAGAAGATGGTAAAGGGGGCTCAGAACAGGGAGGAGGGGCAGCAGGTTAACAAGCTGGCTCTCATTGCTTATTGCGTGCAATTGCTGTCAGAACGTGGGGGATTGGGGAGTGGTGGGGAAGGGGGGAAAAGAAGAGAAAAGGGAGGTAAGGTGATTGTCTTTGGGATGGCTTCTAATAAGGGTATGGGAGATGGCATGGGATATCATGCACTAGTGCAGATGCCAAATGCACCAAAGGTCAACTGCACTGCACCAGGTTTCATTTGCCACTAGGCAGCAAACGTCCCGGGGGGCAGAGGCTTCCACCAGGGAAGGCCGCCCTGCCACCTCCATGTCCCTCTGGGAGTACTGCAGCAGAGGCACTTCCTGCATTTGCGAGAACAATTGTAGGCGCTGACATGGGATGTATCGCAGGCATGGGGGATGGGGAGGCGAAACATCACAAGGTATTTGGTCAAGAGGAAGGGCTTGAGGGAGACAAGGAGGAGTGGAGAGGAGAGGGGGGGATAGATTCGAAGGCCCACTAGTGGTGTTTGAGGATAAATAATAACAATAGTAGGGTTCATTATTACCATGGGCGAGCACGTGGGCGTCGTTGATACCGGAATCGATGCAGCGTGGCGGCCAAAATGATATTGTTGGACCTTTCTGAACCCCATAGGTGTGTTGTGGATGTTTACCAAGGATAGTTATTGACGTCACCTGTAACATTAGCACAAACAAAAAGTGTCGGTCAAGTTGATGAGATAGGGTGTGATAAATTGGAAATGTGCAACTACTCTCACTTAGAAGTATGCGCGCAGGCCCATGCGTCGATGACCGGCCGCGACCCCTCTCGCTATGTCGCACAAGTGTAGCGAGCTACTGTACAGATGGGTGGCCCCCGGATATGTTAGCTGACTACTTTTCCGCTCCTTGGCTTGTTATTGCATCTTCATTAATATCGTCATCAACACCATCCCCTGACGATCGTTGCTACTCCGACATGATCCAATCAACCTACGACCAATCCATCGGTCCTAGTGTTTGATCCTTATTGCCCCGACGCACCCGTGTCACTTGCCGTACTCGTGTTTGATACAAACTGACCAATCTATCCATCGAGTTCTTCAATAGGATCGTCATTGCATGCGCCAGATTGTCCGCGACCCGCACCCCGCACCTTGCCCGTCGCCCGTACGCCACCCGCACCACGCACCCCGCACCCCGCACCCCGCCCGTCGCCCATACGCCATCCGCATCCCACACCCCGCCCGTCGCCCATATGCCATACGCCATTGCACGCGCCAGATCGTCCGCTGCCCGCACCCCGCACCTTGCCCGTCGCCTGTACGCCACCCGCACCCCGCACCCTGCCCGTCGCCCATACGCCATCCGCATCCCGCACCCCGCCTGTCACCCATACGCCACCCGCACCCCACACCCCGCTCGCCGCCCGTACGCCATCCGCACCCCGCCCATCGCCCGTGCCCTCGTCTCCGAGACCCGTCCGAACCCCATACCTGCACCCAGACCGCCGTTCTGCCTCAGATCCCCCCCCCCCCCCCCCCTACCGACAACTGCCACCCTACCCCCATCTCTGGCTCTGTATCCAGCGGGAAGGGGAGGAGGTGTGTTGTTGGTCCGAAGGGGACGATTGGGGGAGGGGGAATGGTGGGGTTGGCGGCTCATGTAAGGGGGAGGTTGAGGGGGTGGGTGATCCATCTGCAGCTACTGCCGCCACACCTCCCCATCTCTCTCTCTCTCTCTCTCTCCGCCACTGCTCCTGCTGTGGGGGGGGAGGTTCAAGGGGTGTGGATGGTGAAATTTGAACTGCAGCATCATCTGCCTCCTCCTCCTCTCATCCCTTGCTGTGCGTGCCTTGCTGTCCACCTGTGCTTCCGCCCGTGTCTCCCATACTGTCGCCCGTGTCTCCCAACTGGACCCCGTCCTCCAAGCACAAGACCTAGCATCGTACAAAAGCGATGATGATCACAAGGCGGAAGTGCCTTGGTGAAAACATCAGCAGTGTTGGCCTCACAGGCTACGTAAGCAAGGCGCAGCTGACCACGCTGCTGCAGCTTACGAGCAAGTAAGTAGCGAAGAGCAATATGCCTCGTTCTGTGCTCCAGTCTGTGCTCCCGACACAAGGCCAGCATGGCCTTGTTGTCTACGTACAGAACTGGAGGAGAACGAGGCAGCTCTCCTAGGTCGGTCAGCAAGTAGGTGAGCCAGCGAAGATCCTGTGCAGCCATGGCCCCCGCGTAGATCTCAGCCTCACAGCTTGAGCCGAGAACAGAAGACGAGCCGGTAGACCGCCACGAAATAGAGCCGGAGCCAAGGCTGAAGGTGTAACCCTGTGACGACCATTGCGTAGCCTGGTCGTCAGCCCAAGAAGCGTCAGCGTGACCTGTCAGGACCACTCGATGTCGCCCTCCAAGCACTAGCCCCATGCGCGACGTACTGCACAAGTAGCGCAACACCCTCTTCACTGCAGCCATGTGCTCTGGTCGGTGTCTCCCAGGAGCAACATAGCGTGCCAAGATGCTAAGAGAGTATGCTAGGTCAGGTTGTGTGTAGGTCATCAGGTACATGAGGCAGCCAACAAGCTCTAGGTACGGGCCACTCGGCTCTACGGACTCATCCGAAGGCAGAGCCAAGAGCGAGTGGCAAGTAGACAGAGGAGTGACCTGAGGAGAGGAGTACGTGAAGTTGAAGCGTTGAAAGACCTTCTGCACCATGTGTGACTGAGTCACGGCAATGGAGCGCTATGCTTTGTCCCGGGTGATCTACAAGCCAAGGTAGCTACGCAGTTCACCCAGGTCTGTGCACGTGTGTCTCTTCTGCAGCTCAAACTTCACGTGGGCGAGTCCAGCACTGTCAGCAGTGGCAAAGACCAAGTCGTCGACGTAGACGAGGATGTAGAACGCCGGCAAAGAGGTGTTGGTTCGCAGAAACAGCGACGGGTCGGCACTAAAAGGAGCAAACCCAAGGCCGCAAGTGTAGTCCTCAGTGTGTCGTGCCTCTCACGGGGCGCCTGGCGGAGAATGTAGACTGGCCGTCGGAGGCTCCACCGGGTACCAGGAGGAAACGACCCAGGGAAGCTAGGTGGGCGGCGGAGCAAGATCTTCTTGTGCAGGCTGCCCTGCAGGAAAGCAGTGCTGAAGTCAAGAGAGTGAAGCTCGTAGTTGCGCTGAGCGGCTATGTGCAGCAGCACCCGAAGAGTGGTCATCTTCGGGGTGGGAGAGAAGGTCTGAAAGTAGTCAACTCCCTGCCGCCGACTGAAACCTCGAGCCACGTAACACGCCTTGAAGACAGGTGGAGAACCCGGCGGCCTCTTCACCCTGAAAATCCACATCCCACTGACGATGTTCGCCCCAGGTGGTGGAACCTCGTCGACGTAGGTGCCTGTGGACTTCCACGAAACCATCTCTCCATCCATGGTTGACTACCACTGTGAGGAGTAGGGACCCTCGATCGCCTCAGCGTACGATCGAGGACTCAGGATGTCTGGTGCATCCGGGTCTCCCTGAGGGGCAATCAGCGTGGACACGACATGAGGCAAAGCAATAGCAAAACACTGGAACTCTTCCTGCTTGCCTCAAGGACGTCCATGCTACGAGCAAACTCAACCTTGACGGACGGAGGACAGACAGACTCAGACTCAGCAACAAGACTAGCAGCGTAGTCTAAACGACAGCGAGCAGCAAAGTCGGCATGCTCAGCAACCAAGGCAGACGCAGTAGGGGACTCAAAGGAAGGGTCAGTGACAACAGTAGCCAGGAGATGCGTGACAGTAGGACAGGCAGCACGAAGAGAGTCGGACTCCGGGTTAGCGAGAACAGGAAGAGAGGATTCTGGAGGAGACGGCAACATGACACGCAGAGGAGCAGTGGAAGGACGCAGTGCCATTTGGTGTGTGCCTGGGACCGCAGGAGGACGCGGACGCGGAGCATGACGACTAGTGCGAGCAGCACGAATAGGCGACGCAGGACGAGATGCAGGCTCACGATGCTCAGCAAGACTTCCAGTAGGACCAGTGTAGGGAGAAGGAGCACATAGGGGGGAGGCGGGCTGTAACTGTGACCGCGATAGGACAGGCTGTGGACACTTTAAGGGAGGAGGAGGACCAGTAGAGGGCGGG